CTGCAGTTCCTGCCGTGGCTGTACCTGAGCACCCCAAGGTGGGAACCTCAAACAGGAGAGGGGCAGGGGCTGGGAGGTGCCAGCAGGGCTGGCACACAGGCTGGGCTGTTTGTGTCACACAGCCCAGGTCTGTGGGAGCTGGGCTGGCTGATGGCCCAGGCTGCAGGGACACTGCCAGAGGGGGCAATTCAATAAAGCAAAGTGTTTCCAGTGCTGTGGAAAATTCAGGATATTGGTGTCTGCATCCCTGTCATATACAGGTGACTAATAAAGCTTTCCAGGATCACAGCATGATGCAGTAGATTACCAAATTATCCAGGAAAACCTGAGTGATCCCCCAAGTCCCCTGAGTGCAGGCCCATGGAGCACACACACCAACAGCCCTCTGTGGACTCTGCACTAGGCTGGCCCCAGTTCTGGGTGACAACAATGACTGTCCCCTAAAACCTCAGCAGGACCAGTGGCAGCAGAATAACTGAGCCCTTCTGCTGCAGCTGGGATGGCTCTCCAGGGCTGGAGGTGCTCCCTGACAGTGTCTGCAGCAACCCTGACTGTAAATTTGTTATTTCAATTTCCAATTAACATTATTAACAACATACAACTACCATTTTGTCCCAGATGAAGCTGTTGCTAGTCATGCCAGAAATTACTTGTGTCACTCCACAAGACATGTCCTCAACATTTCTGTTTTAAGAGAGAACAAATACGAAGGCACCAGCTCCATCCCAGCAGTATTTATGGAAGACTGGGTTCATATTTGTTCCATCTTCAGAGCATGAAACTCTTCCATGACAGAGATTTTCCAGTTTCTAATTGATATGGCTCAGCCAAACCAATGCTGCTCTTTCATCTTGGTCCTCAAACAGGCACCATTTTTTTGAGTGCATTTTAGTCTGTCCATTTTACACTGAGAAATCTGTTTATCATTTAAACCTTGATTTCAGTCATCTCTGCCAAATTACACCGGTGAAGAAAATGAAGTAAAAAGAGTTTAAAGGGACTGTACTTTTTCGGTCTGGAAAGCTTCTGACATCTGTTTTCCCAATAACCAGCCCGATTACATTCTGAAAAATAAAAAGATTATAGAGTACAAGTATTAAACCCAGATGTAGATGATGAATTAGATTTCATGGAATTATACTCTGCTGATGATAATAAACATATTTCTGGCTGGTAATCATTTTAATCTATTTATCCTACAGTACTGTATGAGCTAAAGAGTAAAATATAAACACACAAGTTTACTTTAGGAAAAAATTGTGACTAATAAAAATATTAAAATAAATGCATCTGTTTCTGTTTGTGAAGAAAATGAGAGGACAAAAGTTCACCTCAAGCCTTCAGAATTTTGGCTGTTTTACAGCAGTCTTTCCTCAGGTAGGCAGCAAGGTTGTTGTTTCATGCTCTCTGCACGGGTCTCAGATCTCCTCAAATGCTCCATGGAAAGTCTGGACAGGATTTATTTTACACTGAAGTGTCCGAGGCTTTCCTGGCTCTCAGCACCACGAGCCCCACGTGTGCACCTACAGGAGCTTGTCCTGCCCCAGCCAAGCTGCCCAAATTCCTACAGGTGCCTCTCTCTCGCTGTCTTTCAAGTGACTCCAAGGGAGCTGAGGCAAGGAGCTTTTCTGTTGATTCAGACCAAAATCAATCTTATTCTGCTTTGCTAAACCTGAGTCTATTATGTAAAAACATCCTGTTCTCAATTGTCAAACAACTACTGGGAGCAAACACACACATGTAGCTATAGATATATTATCTATCTATCTACAACATAACCTAACAGCGCTGTGGTGGGTTGTTGTTGTTTTTTAAGTGGTCCATGGTGTCAGAGAAAAGTTTTGCAGCGCTCATTTGGGATTTAAGAGTTCAGCAAGGACAGTGAGAGTGGGACAAGGGCTGGAAGAACAGACTGACAGTGCAGTACTGCCAGGATCCTTCAAACATGAAGCATCCTGCCTCAAATTCCATGTCACAGAATCCTGGAGTGGTTTGGGTTGGGGGGACCTTAAAGCCCATCCAGTGCCACCCCTGCCATGGCAGGGACACTTCCCCTGTGCCAGGGGGCTCCAAGCCCTGTCCAGCCTGGCCTTGGTCCCTCCCAGGGATGTGGCAGCCCCAGCTCCTTCACACGAGCCCTTCTGGCCGTCCTGAGTGTCCCATTGCAGCAGAATTCCAGAGCCAGCCGGGAAGGGCAGGGCTGGGTCAGTAACCCAGCCAGGATCGCTTTGTACCTATTCCCAAAGCAGCGGGACCTGCCTGACTTCACTGCAGCGATATCGAGGACGTGCTCACAAACCAGCTCTGTTTCCCTGGGATCACTAGAGGGAGCACGGGAACTGCCTTATCCTGCAGGGATCGATGCACTAAGGAAGAAGCCACTTGTGTACAGCACTGTAATATCCCCCGTCAGACTGAATGCTTTATATCCACTGCATGCAGTAATTCTAAATAGGATTTTGTTTTTCTATTTTGGGTTTTGTTTCTTAATTAATAAAAAAAAATCCATTAAATTAGAGTGCAACATTCCCTGTATTTCACCACCAAATGTCAAAAGAACTAACATTTAGGATGAGTGCCTGCAGAAATTAGGCTGATTGTGCCTAATTTCTGGTGTAAATATCCAATTTCCCAAAGAAATCTGCCCTGGCCCTGCTGTAGATGTGTTCACCTCTGTGTCTCCAACCTCAGACTTGCACAGAGAGCTGGCAGAAGGAATTGATCTGGCTGGAAACTATTTTGGACTGAGGAAGGCAGAAAAACTTCCAGAGATCATTTCCTTGATCAGCTCGTTGTGCAACTGCCCAAGCACTCATTTCCCCGGAGAGGAGGGAACCCCCCCTCTGGTGCCTGTTTTGGCAGAGCTCTGCTTGAGGCTGCTCAACCAACTCCTGAGCACTGCAAGTGTTTACACTTGAATCTCTTTCACTTTTTAAAATAAACAGCAAACTCCTAAACCGTGCCATTTGGATACTTCAGACTGTGTGTTCAGCTGTTTTCACAGCCTAACACAACACACACTGATCATTCTACCATCAGTTATTATTTTATGAAAATACTTTCATTGCCGTGTGTTGCTAACTGCAATACTCGAGTTTTATTTGTGAAATAAAAGCTTTTATTTGTAAAATAAAGGCTTTTAAGTGGGTTAGTGGATCATTATTTGGGAGGAACTGAATGACAGGTTAGATTAGCATTGCTGAACACCAGTTTGGATCAGTATGGCTCTAAGGAGATAGAAAACTTCTCTTAGATCATCCCTTTTCTGTGCTTCCTCTTTCATTTGCTTAAAGTAAATGAGAAAATAAATTGTGCCATCCCAAATAAAAAGTGGTGGGAATAGGAAAACTCCCTATTTTCATCTTTCCCTGGGGCAGGGGAGGGGGGATGCTGCCTCTGCTGAGGTGAGACCCCACCTGCAGAGCTGCCTCCAGCCCTGGCTCCCAGCACAGGGAGCACCTGGAGCTCTTGGGGTGAGTCCAGAGGAGGCTCCACGATGTTTGGAAAGGCTGAAAGAATTGGGATTGCTCATGCTGGAAAAGAGAAGCTTTGGGGTCACCTAATTGTGGCTTCCAGGAGCTGAAGGAGCTGACAAGAAACATGAGAGAGACTCTTTACAAGGGATGGAGGGACAGAACAAGGGGCAATGGCTTCAAACAGAGAGTGGGCTTAGGATATTGGGATAAATCCTTCCCTGGGAGGGTGGGCAGCCCTGGCACAGGTGCCCAGAGGATCCCTGGCAGTGCCCAAGGCCAGACTGGGACAGAGGAAGTGTCCCTGCCATGGCAGGGGTGGCACTGGATGGGCTTTAGGCTCCCTTCCACCCCAAACCAACCTGTGATCCTATGCAAACCCATTTTTCATCCCAAAGAAACAGAACCAGCCCTGCCATGGAACTGTGAGGTTTCTGCCCTGCCTTCCCAGCGTGCCTGAGAGCCTGCTGAGGTCCCAGATTGTGGCTGCATAGTGCTGGCTCTGTCGTGTCCCCAGTAATGTCTTCACTAATTCAGCACATCCATTTCCAGTGCTACAAAGGAGCCTCTGATACATGGAATTGTCCAGTCAATATCTGTGCCTGTGGTACCCACGGGCTGTGGGCAGCAACAGCATCAATTTTCATTTTGCTGCTTTGCACACAAAGAAGGGAAGGTCCTTTCTACCCAACAATTGCACTAATGCTATCAGTACCTAAATACACATCAATTACATAATTTTGCAGTAATATAAGACACTCAGATACAATTTCCTCTGGGAACAAAAGGCTGTGAGACTTACAGGACGAGCAAGGTTTGGATGCAGATCTGAAAGTGCAACAAAGTCCCGTGCTGAACGAGAATGAGCCATTCTTTATCTGAAACTGAAGGAAACTGACTCACATTTTGTAAATATCCAAACAAATCACTTAAGACCACTCACAGTGAGAATAACAAGTTATTTTTTAACATAAATGTTTTGACCTAATAGCATCTGTTTTCAATAAGAGGCATTTCAAGCCATCTGAAGTAGACAATTCTTTATTGTTTGGATTTGGCGATGGAAGTTATGAATTTTACTGTGACAGCTCTACCTAAGCTTCTCAAATAAAGGCCTGTAATTTTTATTTATTATTCATCATTAAATGACTCCATTAGCACCAGGCTCTGAAAAATATTTACCCTCCTTCTCTCTGGGAAGCCAACTGAATTTAATGAGGCAGCTCATATTTAAAAGGCAATTTATATGTGAGGAAAGAGAAGTGTTGCATTGCAAAGCACCTTTAATTGAGGTTTTGGACTAAATATTAAACTACTTTAAAATGTGAGTTTATTGCTTCGTGAAAATAGAAAAGTTGTGAATTTATTAAAATAAAATTTGTGAAAACAAGTTTTATTCAGGCTGCCAATGTGGCATTTACTGCCCAGCCCTGAGAACACCTAGGATCTCTCTGGAGATGCTGAAGTGGGGCCATGGGTGCTTTTTTAGCCCCTCTGAATGCCTCTTATTATTCCATGGGTTCCTCAGAGACATTTAGATACTTAACAAATGGTTGTCAAATTCTGGTTTTTGTTGTAAAAGGAACCATGGCATTGTCCAAATCTTAATAACCTTTAATAGGAGAGAACTGCTGACATTTTTCAGAGGATGCCTGTTCAATCTTTAGAACAAAATCCTGAATGGCTTTCACAGTCTTTATATCTGGAAGCTTGTGTGAGAATTGTTAACCATTTCATCAGGCATTAGGATAAAGGTCTGTTGAACTAGAGAACAAATAAGGCTACATTTTAAAGAAAAATAAGCAGTTATCTGAGAACCAAGTGATTTTTCTAAAAGAGCATTTCAAGCTACACTCTCACAGAGAGACAGCCCAAATTTGCCTTACAGAAACCACGGAACAATGGGGCCCTCAAACCCGTTCCCATCCCATTAGATGGAAGAATTTATGTTTCCTTCTGTAGGAAAATTACCTGCAAGGCAAGGTAATATTCTCACCTCAGAAGAAGTTAAATATTGTTACCTGCTGTATCCCACACCAGCTGGGTCGTGTCAAAAGGAACCAGCACTGGAGCACCTGTATCAGAGGAAGATTAAAATGGTCATTTAGGATTTTTAATTCTCTGGGTTCTGAGAGCTGGAGCAGAGCTGCCCCACTCAGGGACCCCTCAACCTCCTCAGGTGCTGCTCAACCCATCATGGACCTCCTCACACATCCACCATTCCCCTCGGGTGCCCCTGACTGACCTTTCAGCCTCCTCCTGGATTGTTCAGCCCCACAGGTGCCCCTCAGATGCCCCTCACTGACTCTCCAACCTCCTCCTGGACTCTTCAGCCCCTCAGATGCCCCTCACTGACCCTTCAGCCTCCTTCTGGACTCTTCAGCCCCTCAGATGCCCCTCACTGACTCTCCAACCTCCTCCTGGACCCTTCAGTCCCTCAAGTGCCCCTCACTGACCCTTTGGTGTCCTCCTGGCTCTTCATCCCCACAGGTACCCCTCAGATGCCCCTCATTGACCCTCCAACCTCCTCCTGAACTCTTCAGGTTCCCCTCACTGACCTTTCAGCCTCCTCCTGAACTCTTCAGTCCCTCAGGTTCCCCTCACTGACCCTTCAGCCCCTCAGGTCCTGAGGGAAACAAGATGGCGCCGGCGCAGTGGCGGGAAAAGGGCCCCGCGCCCCCTCGTCCCTCAGGGCTGAGGGGAGACGCTCTCCCATCCCCGCACATTCAGTGGGATCTCCAACAGACCTGGAGTCACTGGGTTTGAGGAGGTAACAACAGGGTTAGATGGGATTTTGGGCTGGAATTGTACACAGTGAGAGTGGGCAGGCCCTGGCACGGGGTGCCCACAGAAGCTGTGGGTGCCATGGATCCTTGGCAGTGCCCAAGGTCAGGCTGGAGCACCCTGGGGTAATGGAAGGGTCCCTGCCCATGGAGCTGGATGGTTTTTAAGGTCCCCTCAACGCAAACAATCCCATGATTCTGTGACTTACCATATCAGAAATTAAAAATCAGGTTCATTCTACAAATATAAACACACAACGCACCAGCAAGACAAAGCAATTCACAGAAATCTCTGAAGAAACCATTCCTTACTTCTTTTTTTTAATGTTGGCTGTAAAGGAAAAAAAGTTGCAGCCTGTATTTTATAAATGAATCAAAATTTCTGGGTTAAAGATATTATTTGTATTGATTTACACCCAATAGTCCTATATTTTCTATATTTAGGCTCTGCTGAAGGCTGGCTTGAGCGGTTTTCTCCATTTATATTGAATATAAAATTATATTTTATAAAATCAATACCCTTCACTTCTGCGCCATAAAAAACTTTACTCCTGATGAGTAATTTTATAATCCCAAGGTCTCAGCTATTGGAAGTTTTCAGCATAGCCTGACAAATTCTCTGTGTTGACTCTGTCTTACAGGATCTTTCATTTCTTCAGTTAAACAGCTGAAAATGGATCCCACCTGTGCTCTTGTATTTATTGTGTCACAAAAATCCACGATAATTATCCCGTGCTGATGACAAACAGGATGCCAGGGAACTGACAGCCTGGGTGGGTTTTTTCTTTTTTAGGTCACCTTTTATACAGTATGATCCATGGATCTAATTTTGTTTTGTAAGTTTGATGTCTCCACTAAACAGAACATGACATTTTTTTCTGTCGGTTCTGTTGTTTTCATTACCTCAAGCTAATGAACAAGCAGAAGGTAACGAGCCTGGTGATAGGATCCCAGTGGAATGGGAACGAGAACCTGGACACTGGCTGGGAAATGCTGGCACAGGCACAGGTCTCATTCTTACAGCCAGGACTGCAATGCAAAACAGGAAAAAGAATCCCTGAAATGAGACCTGTGGGGTGTCCTCTGCTGCAGGAGGTGACAAACCAGCACCAGGCTCACAGGAGCTGAGCCGGGCCAGTATCTCAGCAAGGTTTTGGTGGGACACGAGCACCTGCTGCATGGAGCCTTGCAGGGATCCTGTGCATGGGTAGGTCCCCAGTTCCAGCGGGTTTTGTCCAGGTGGAGCTGCTTTTCTCCCACAGGCACAAGGGGCAGGTGAAACCCAACCCTGCCGTGTCCCCTCCAGGCCTTTGTTCCATTTCAAAGCCACCAGAACAAGGGTGCTGTTGTGCCTCTCCTGGCTCCCCATAATCACCGGCAGGGTTTGCTTTGTGGGCTGCTTCCACTCCTATTTTCAATGTACATTTGGGGGGGGGCAATAAAAAAGCTGCTTTTTACTTTCCCAGGATAGCTCCTGCTGGGAAGACGTTATCAGGGCCATCGTGACAGGAGGCACAAAGGCAGGGGACAGAGCGAGACTGGTTCTTTCCCTCTGAGATGTCTGATTAGATGCTGAATTTCTGCCTTGCAGATACTGAGCCAAGGACTCGTTTGATGCCCGTACCTGTCTCAGGTGACTCTGTGAATTCTGCCATTCACACAGCACATGGCACCTCAGGGGCAGCCAGGGACTTCTGTGGTTACTGCAAACAAATAACACCTTTTTTAGTGTTTATAACCAACAAATGTCTAACCTGCCTTTATCCTGCTGATTTACAATGCCAGCTGATTCTCCCAGCCAGGAATTTTCAATACAAACACTGGAGAGCATCTGTAAAAACAAATGTTATTCAACTTGTATCCTGCTTTACTCAACCTTTCCTCCTCAGCTGACCTCAAAGTGGTCTCAAAAAAAAATCAGCATCGTTATCTCCCTTTGACAACTGGGAAAACAGACAAGAGAAAGGCCAAAAGAGGTTTCCTACAATCCATGCACCACACAGAACCAGCTCCCCTCTCCAGCAGCAGCCCCAGCGGGAGAGCACCGGTGTTAATTCACTGCTTTTCTGATCTAGCGCTTGATCCCTGAAAGCTCCAAGTGGTTTGAACTCTGCAGCACTTCAGCAGCACTCAGCTCTCTGCCCATTCCTCCTGTGATTGGCAGAGCCTCCCCGTACACTGGGCTGCAAATTGCCCAGTCCCTGCTAATTAGCCTTCATGAATAGCTTTATTTAAATTACACTCATTGGCATGGCCAAGCAGTGCAAATGCCATTTCGTAATTCACTTTAGCAATTTGTTACGTGACCATCAGTACACTTGGAGTTCAGGGGAAGAAAGTCCAGCACTAGCAGGGACATTTCAGAAATCATTTCCAAAACCAGAGCAATATAAAAATATTTGCTCTGTGCATTTTCCGCTGCCCACAGCGTTTACTGAGAGGGCTTATTGAATATTTATACATCCTTAAGACCAAAAGAACTGGTAAAATGGAGAGGGCAGACATGTAATTTTATGTAATTGGCCTGACTGAATGCATTAAGAGCAACAAATTATTGAAGGTGCTCGGTGTTGAGTGGTTTTGGCTGATACCTGAGCTGGCAGAGCCTCGGGAGCACTGATGGAGTAAGGATGGGCATCTTCAGCAGCAGCAGTGCAGGTGCTGATGCAGCCAACAGGTGCTCAGTGTGTCTTTAGGGATATTTAATCCAAATTTCTCCGAGTCTTTGTTCAGCTCTCACTCCAGCCTGGTTCTCCCCCCCAGCACTGGAGCCATCCCAGTGCTGTTTCAGTGGGAGCAGCACCATCACCACCTGCAGCATGGAAAAACACAACAACCCAGAGCCTTGTTGTAAAATTAACACGACCCATGGCTGGTTCCCACCTCACCTGGGTTAATTCTGCCTTCTTGGGGCCAGGGAGATGCCAGGGCATACATGTGGCAGCAGCATGAGCCTGCAGGGAGCTCAGACCCCAACACAGGCATGAGCAAACAGAACCACAGGCCAGGGGCTCTGCTGGGGATGCCAACAGCTCTCTCTGCACAAGAAAAGCTCCATTTCTGGCAAAGACCAAAATAAAAAAGCTTT